GTGGACGTGGACGTGGACGTGGACGTGGACGTGGACGTGGACGTGGACGTGGACGTGGACGTGGACGTGGACGTGGACGTGGACGTGGACGTGGACGTGGACGTGGACGTGGACGTGGACGTGGACGTGGACGTGGACGTGGACGTGGACGTGGACGTGGACGTGGACGTGGACGTGGACGTGGACGTGGACGTGGACGTGGACGTGGACGTGGACGTGGACGTGGACGTGGACGTGGACGTGGACGTGGACGTGGACGTGGACGTGGACGTGGACGTGGACGTGGACGTGGACGTGGACGTGGACGTGGACGTGGACGTGGACGTGGACGTGGACGTGGACGTGGACGTGGACGTGGACGTGGACGTGGACGTGGACGTGGACGTGGACGTGGACGTGGACGTGGACGTGGACGTGGACGTGGACGTGGACGTGGACGTGGACGTGGACGTGGACGTGGACGTGGACGTGGACGTGGACGTGGACGTGGACGTGGACGTGGACGTGGACGTGGACGTGGACGTGGACGTGGACGTGGACGTGGACGTGGACGTGGACGTGGACGTGGACGTGGACGTGGACGTGGACGTGGACGTGGACGTGGACGTGGACGTGGACGTGGACGTGGACGTGGACGTGGACGTGGACGTGGACGTGGACGTGGACGTGGACGTGGACGTGGACGTGGACGTGGACGTGGACGTGGACGTGGACGTGGACGTGGACGTGGACGTGGACGTGGACGTGGACGTGGACGTGGACGTGGACGTGGACGTGGACGTGGACGTGGACGTGGACGTGGACGTGGACGTGGACGTGGACGTGGACGTGGACGTGGACGTGGACGTGGACGTGGACGTGGACGTGGACGTGGACGTGGACGTGGACGTGGACGTGGACGTGGACGTGGACGTGGACGTGGACGTGGACGTGGACGTGGACGTGGACGTGGACGTGGACGTGGACGTGGACGTGGACGTGGACGTGGACGTGGACGTGGACGTGGACGTGGACGTGGACGTGGACGTGGACGTGGACGTGGACGTGGACGTGGACGTGGACGTGGACGTGGACGTGGACGTGGACGTGGACGTGGACGTGGACGTGGACGTGGACGTGGACGTGGACGTGGACGTGGACGTGGACGTGGACGTGGACGTGGACGTGGACGTGGACGTGGACGTGGACGTGGACGTGGACGTGGACGTGGACGTGGACGTGGACGTGGACGTGGACGTGGACGTGGACGTGGACGTGGACGTGGACGTGGACGTGGACGTGGACGTGGACGTGGACGTGGACGTGGACGTGGACGTGGACGTGGACGTGGACGTGGACGTGGACGTGGACGTGGACGTGGACGTGGACGTGGACGTGGACGTGGACGTGGACGTGGACGTGGACGTGGACGTGGACGTGGACGTGGACGTGGACGTGGACGTGGACGTGGACGTGGACGTGGACGTGGACGTGGACGTGGACGTGGACGTGGACGTGGACGTGGACGTGGACGTGGACGTGGACGTGGACGTGGACGTGGACGTGGACGTGGACGTGGACGTGGACGTGGACGTGGACGTGGACGTGGACGTGGACGTGGACGTGGACGTGGACGTGGACGTGGACGTGGACGTGGACGTGGACGTGGACGTGGACGTGGACGTGGACGTGGACGTGGACGTGGACGTGGACGTGGACGTGGACGTGGACGTGGACGTGGACGTGGACGTGGACGTGGACGTGGACGTGGACGTGGACGTGGACGTGGACGTGGACGTGGACGTGGACGTGGACGTGGACGTGGACGTGGACGTGGACGTGGACGTGGACGTGGACGTGGACGTGGACGTGGACGTGGACGTGGACGTGGACGTGGACGTGGACGTGGACGTGGACGTGGACGTGGACGTGGACGTGGACGTGGACGTGGACGTGGACGTGGACGTGGACGTGGACGTGGACGTGGACGTGGACGTGGACGTGGACGTGGACGTGGACGTGGACGTGGACGTGGACGTGGACGTGGACGTGGACGTGGACGTGGACGTGGACGTGGACGTGGACGTGGACGTGGACGTGGACGTGGACGTGGACGTGGACGTGGACGTGGACGTGGACGTGGACGTGGACGTGGACGTGGACGTGGACGTGGACGTGGACGTGGACGTGGACGTGGACGTGGACGTGGACGTGGACGTGGACGTGGACGTGGACGTGGACGTGGACGTGGACGTGGACGTGGACGTGGACGTGGACGTGGACGTGGACGTGGACGTGGACGTGGACGTGGACGTGGACGTGGACGTGGACGTGGACGTGGACGTGGACGTGGACGTGGACGTGGACGTGGACGTGGACGTGGACGTGGACGTGGACGTGGACGTGGACGTGGACGTGGACGTGGACGTGGACGTGGACGTGGACGTGGACGTGGACGTGGACGTGGACGTGGACGTGGACGTGGACGTGGACGTGGACGTGGACGTGGACGTGGACGTGGACGTGGACGTGGACGTGGACGTGGACGTGGACGTGGACGTGGACGTGGACGTGGACGTGGACGTGGACGTGGACGTGGACGTGGACGTGGACGTGGACGTGGACGTGGACGTGGACGTGGACGTGGACGTGGACGTGGACGTGGACGTGGACGTGGACGTGGACGTGGACGTGGACGTGGACGTGGACGTGGACGTGGACGTGGACGTGGACGTGGACGTGGACGTGGACGTGGACGTGGACGTGGACGTGGACGTGGACGTGGACGTGGACGTGGACGTGGACGTGGACGTGGACGTGGACGTGGACGTGGACGTGGACGTGGACGTGGACGTGGACGTGGACGTGGACGTGGACGTGGACGTGGACGTGGACGTGGACGTGGACGTGGACGTGGACGTGGACGTGGACGTGGACGTGGACGTGGACGTGGACGTGGACGTGGACGTGGACGTGGACGTGGACGTGGACGTGGACGTGGACGTGGACGTGGACGTGGACGTGGACGTGGACGTGGACGTGGACGTGGACGTGGACGTGGACGTGGACGTGGACGTGGACGTGGACGTGGACGTGGACGTGGACGTGGACGTGGACGTGGACGTGGACGTGGACGTGGACGTGGACGTGGACGTGGACGTGGACGTGGACGTGGACGTGGACGTGGACGTGGACGTGGACGTGGACGTGGACGTGGACGTGGACGTGGACGTGGACGTGGACGTGGACGTGGACGTGGACGTGGACGTGGACGTGGACGTGGACGTGGACGTGGACGTGGACGTGGACGTGGACGTGGACGTGGACGTGGACGTGGACGTGGACGTGGACGTGGACGTGTGGACGTGGACGTGGACGTGGACGTGGACGTGGACGTGGACGTGGACGTGGACGTGGACGTGGACGTGGACGTGGACGTGGACGTGGACGTGGACGTGGACGTGGACGTGGACGTGGACGTGGACGTGGACGTGGACGTGGACGTGGACGTGGACGTGGACGTGGACGTGGACGTGGACGTGGACGTGGACGTGGACGTGGACGTGGACGTGGACGTGGACGTGGACGTGGACGTGGACGTGGACGTGGACGTGGACGTGGACGTGGACGTGGACGTGGACGTGGACGTGGACGTGGACGTGGACGTGGACGTGGACGTGGACGTGGACGTGGACGTGGACGTGGACGTGGACGTGGACGTGGTGGACGTGGACGTGGACGTGGACGTGGACGTGGACGTGGACGTGGACGTGGACGTGGACGTGGACGTGGACGTGGACGTGGACGTGGACGTGGACGTGGACGTGGACGTGGACGTGGACGTGGACGTGGACGTGGACGTGGACGTGGACGTGGACGTGGACGTGGACGTGGACGTGGACGTGGACGTGGACGTGGACGTGGACGTGGACGTGGACGTGGACGTGGACGTGGACGTGGACGTGGACGTGGACGTGGACGTGGACGTGGACGTGGACGTGGACGTGGACGTGGACGTGGACGTGGACGTGGACGTGGACGTGGACGTGGACGTGGATGGACGTGGACGTGGACGTGGACGTGGACGTGGACGTGGACGTGGACGTGGACGTGGACGTGGACGTGGACGTGGACGTGGACGTGGACGTGGACGTGGACGTGGACGTGGACGTGGACGTGGACGTGGACGTGGACGTGGACGTGGACGTGGACGTGGACGTGGACGTGGACGTGGACGTGGACGTGGACGTGGACGTGGACGTGGACGTGGACATGGACGTGGACGTGGACGTGGACGTGGACGTGGACGTGGACGTGGACGTGGACGTGGACGTGGACGTGGACGTGGACGTGGACGTGGACGTGGACGTGGACGTGGACGTGGACGTGGACGTGGACGTGGACGTGGACGTGGACGTGGACGTGGACGTGGACGTGGACGTGGACGTGGACGTGGACGTGGACGTGGACGTGGACGTGGACGTGGACGTGGACGTGGACGTGGACGTGGACATGGACGTGGACGTGGACGTGGACGTGGACGTGGACGTGGACGTGGACGTGGACGTGGACGTGGACGTGGACGTGGACGTGGACGTGGACGTGGACGTGGACGTGGACGTGGACGTGGACGTGGACGTGGACGTGGACGTGACGTGGACGTGGACGTGGACGTGGACATGGACGTGGACGTGGACGTGGACGTGGACGTGGACGTGGACGTGGACGTGGACGTGGACGTGGACGTGGACGTGGACGTGGACGTGGACGTGGACGTGGACGTGGACGTGGACGTGGACGTGGACGTGGACGTGGACGTGGACGTGGACGTGGACGTGGACGTGGACGTGGACGTGGACGTGGACATGGACGTGGACGTGGACGTGGACGTGGACGTGGACGTGGACGTGGACGTGGACGTGGACGTGGACGTGGACGTGGACGTGGACGTGGACGTGGACGTGGACGTGGACGTGGACGTGGACGTGGACGTGGACGTGGACGTGGACGTGGACGTGGAGGACGTGGACGTGGACGTGGACGTGGATGGACGTGGACGTGGACGTGGACGTGGACGTGGACGTGGACGTGGACGTGGACGTGGACGTGGACGTGGACGTGGACGTGGACGTGGACGTGGACGTGGACGTGGACGTGGACGTGGACGTGGACGTGGACGTGGACGTGGACGTGGACGTGGACGTGGACGTGGACGTGGACGTGGACGTGGACGTGGACGTGGACGTGGACGTGGACGTGGACGTGGACGTGGACGTGGACGTGGACGTGGACGTGGACGTGGACGTGGACGTGGACGTGGACGTGGACGTGGACGTGGACGTGGACGTGGACGTGGACGTGGACGTGGACGTGGACGTGGACGTGGACGTGGACGTGGACGTGGACGTGGACGTGGACGTGGACGTGGACGTGGACGTGGACGTGGACGTGGACGTGGACGTGGACGTGGACGTGGACGTGGACGTGGACGTGGACGTGGACGTGGACGTGGACGTGGACGTGGACGTGGACGTGGACGTGGACGTGGACGTGACGTGGACGTGGACGTGGACGTGGACGTGGACGTGGACGTGGACGTGGACGTGGACGTGGACGTGGACGTGGACGTGGACGTGGACGTGGACGTGGACGTGGACGTGGACGTGGACGTGGACGTGGACGTGGACGTGGACGTGGACGTGGACGTGGACGTGGACGTGGACGTGGACGTGGACGTGGACGTGGACGTGGACGTGGACGTGGACGTGGACGTGGACGTGGACGTGGACGTGGACGTGGACGGACGTGGACGTGGACGTGGACGTGGACGTGGACGTGGACGTGGACGTGGACGTGGACGTGGACGTGGACGTGGACGTGGACGTGGACGTGGACGTGACGTGGACGTGGACGTGGACGTGGACGTGGACGTGGACGTGGACGTGGACGTGGACGTGGACGTGGACGTGGACGTGGACGTGGACGTGGACGTGGACGTGGACGTGGACGTGGACGTGGACGTGGACGTGGACGTGGACGTGGACGTGGACGTGGACGTGGACGTGGACGTGGACGTGGACGTGGACGTGGACGTGGACGTGGACGTGGACGTGGACGTGGACGTGGACGTGGACGTGGACGTGGACGTGGACGTGGACGTGGACGTGGACGTGGACGTGGACGTGGACGTGGACGTGGACGTGGACGTGGACGTGGACGTGGACGTGGACGTGGACGTGGACGTGGACGTGGACGTGGACGTGGACGTGGACGTGGACGTGGACGTGGACGTGGACGTGGACGTGGACGTGGACGTGGACGTGGACGTGTGGACGTGGACGTGGACGTGGACGTGGACGTGGACGTGGACGTGGACGTGGACATGGACGTGGACGTGGACGTGGACGTGGACGTGGACGTGGACTTGGACGTGGACGTGGACGTGGACGTGGACGTGGACGTGGACGTGACGTGGACGTGGACGTGCGTGGACGTGGACGTGGACGTGGACGTGGACGTGGACGTGGACGTGGACGTGGACGTGGACGTGGACGTGGACGTGGACGTGGACGTGACGTGGACGTGGACGTGGACGTGGACGTGGACGTGGACGTGGACGTGGACGTGGACGTGGACGTGGACGTGGACGTGGACGTGGACGTGGACGTGGACGTGGACGTGGACGTGGACGTGGACGTGGACGTGGACGTGGACGTGGACGTGGACGTGGACGTGGACGTGGACGTGGACGTGGACGTGGACGTGGACGTGGACGTGGACGTGGACGTGGACGTGGACGTGGACGTGGACGTGGACGTGGACGTGGACGTGGACGTGGACGTGGACGTGGACGTGGACGTGGACGTGGACGTGGACGTGGACGTGGACATGGACGTGGACGTGGACGTGGACGTGGACGTGGACGTGGACGGGGACGTGGACGTGGACGTGGACGTGGACGTGGACGTGGACGTGGACATGGACGTGGACGTGACGTGGACGTGGACGTGGACGTGGACGTGGACGTGGACGTGGACATGGACGTGGACGTGGACGTGGACGTGGACGTGGACGTGGACGTGGACGTGGACGTGGACGTGGACGTGGACGTGGACGTGGACGTGGACGTGGACATGGACGTGGACGTGGACGTGGACGTGGACGTGGACGTGGACGTGGACGTTGACGTGGACGTGGACGTGGACGTGGACGTGGACGTGGACGTGGACGTGGACGTGGACGTGGACGTGGACGTGGACATGGACGTGGACGTGGACGTGGACGTGGACGTGACGTGGACGTGGACGTGGACATGGGACGTGGACGTGGACGTGGGTGGACGTGGACGTGGACGTGGACGTGGACTGGACGTGGACGTGGACGTGGACGTGGACGTGGACGTGGACGTGTCGTGGACGTGGACGTGGACGTGGACGTGGACGTGGACGTGGACGTGGACTTGGACGTGGACGTGGACGTGGACGTGGACGTGGACGTGGACGTGGACATGGACGTGGACGTGGACGTGGACGTGGACGTGGACATGGACGTGGACGTGGACGTGGACATGGACGTGGAGTGGACGTGGACGTGGACGTGGACGTGGACGTGTGGACGTGGACATGGACGTGGACGTGGACGTGGACGTGGACGTGGACGTGGACGTGGACGTGGACGTGGACGTGGACGTGTGGGACGTGGACATGGACGTGGACGTGGACGTGGTCGTGGAACGCGTGGACGTGGACGTGGACGTGTGGACGTGGACGTGGACGTGGACGTGGACGTGGACGTGGACGTGGACGTGGACGTGGACGTGGACGTGACGTGGACGTGGACGGACGTGGACGTGGACGTGGACGTGGACGTGGACGTGGACGTGGACGTGGACGTGGACGTGGACGTGGACGTGGACGTGGACGTGGACGTGGACGTGGACGTGGACGTGGACGTGGACGTGGACGTGGACGTGGACGTGGACGTGGACGTGGACATGGACGTGGACGTGGGCGTGGACGTGGACGTGGACGTGGACGTGGACGTGGACGTGGACGTGGACATGGACGTGGACGTGGACGTGGACGTGGACGTGGACGTGGACGTGGACGTGGACGTGGACGTGGACGTGGACGTGGACGTGGACGTGGACTGGACGTGGACGTGGACGTGGACGTGGACGTGGACGTGGACGTGGACGTGGACGTGGACGTGGACGTGGACGTGGACATGGACGTGGACGTGGACGTGGACGTGGACGTGGACGTGGACGTGGACGTGGACGTGGACGTGGAGGACGTGGACGTGGACGTGGACGTGGACGTGGACGTGGACGTGGACGTGGACGTGGACGGGACGTGGACGTGGACGTGGACGTGGACGTGGACGTGGACGTGGACGTGGACGTGGACGTGGACGTGGACGTGGACGGGACTTGGACGTGGACGTGGACGTGGACGTGGACGTGGACGTGGACGTGGACGTGGACGTGGACGTGACGTGGACGTGGACGTGGACGTGGACGTGGACGTGGACGTGGACGTGGACGTGGACGTGGACGTGGACGTGGACGTGGACGTGGACGTGGACGTGGACGTGGACGTGGACGTGGACGCGTGGACGTGGACGTGGACGTGGACGTGGACGTGGACGGACGTGGACGTGGACGTGGACATGGACGTGGACGTGGACGTGGACGTGGACGTGGACGTGGACGGTCGTGGACGTGGACGTGGACGGTACGTGGACGTGGACGTGGACGTGGACGTGGACGTGGACGTGGACGTGGACGTGGACGTGGACGTGGACGTGGACGTGGACGTGGACGTGGACGTGGACGTGGACGTGGACGTGGACGTGGACGTGGACGTGGACGTGGACGTGACGTGGACGTGGACGTGGACGTGGACGTGGACGTGGACGTGGACGGGACGTGGACGTGGACTGGACGTGGACGTGGACGTGGACGTGGACGTGGACGTGGACGTGGACTTGGGTCATGGACGTGGACGTGGATGTGGACGTGGACGTGGACGTGGACGTGGACGTGGACGGACGTGGACGTGGACGGACGTGACGGGACGTGGACGTGGACGTGGACGTGGACGTGGACGTGGACGGACGTGGACGTGGACGGACGTGGACGTGGACGTGACGTGGACGGACGTGGACGTGGACGTGGACCGTGGACGTGGACGTGGACGTGGACGTGGACGTGGACGTGGACTGGGGACGTGGACGTGGGACGTGGACGTGGACATGGACGTGGACGTGGACGTGGACGTGGACGTGGACGTGGACGTGGACGTGGACGTGGACGTGGACGTGGACGTGGACGTGGACATGGACGTGGACGTGGACGTGGACGTGGACGTGGACGTGGACGTGGACGTGGACGTGGACGTGGACTTGGACGTGGACGTGGACGTGGACGTGGACTGTGGATGGACGTGGACGTGACGTGGACTGGACGTGGACGTGGACGTGGACGTGGACGTGGACGTGGACGTGGACGTGAGATGGACGTGGACGTGGACGTGACGTGGACGTGGACGTGGACGTGGACGTGGACGTGGACGTGGACGTGGACGTGGACGTGGACGTGGACGTGGACGGGACGTGGACGTGGACGTGGACGTGGACGTACAGTGGACGTGGACGTGGACGTGGACGTGGACGTGGACGACGTGGACGTGGACGTGGACGTGGACGTGGACGTGGACGTGGACGTGGACGTGGACGTGGACGTGGACGTGGACGGAGTGGACGTGGACGTGGACGTGGACGTGTGACGTGGACGTGGACGTGGACGTGGACGTGGACATGGACGTGGACGTGGACGTGGACGTGGACATGGACGTGGACGTGGACGTGGACGTGGACGTGGACGTGGACAAGGACGTGGACGTGGACGTGGACGTGGACGTGGACGTGGACGTGGACGTGGACGTGGACGTGGACGTGGACGTGGACGTGGACGTGGAACGTGGACGTGGACGTGGACGTGGACGTGGACGTGGACGTGGACGTGGACGTGGACGTGGACGTGGACGTGGACGTGCTGGACGTGGACGTGGACGTGGACGTGGACGTGGACGTGGACGTGGACATGGACGTGGTCGTGGACGTGGACGTGGACGTGGACGTGGACGTGGACGTGGACGTGGACGTGGACGTGGACGTGGACGTGGACGTGGAGGACGTGACGTGGACGTGGACGTGGACATGGACGTGGACGTGGACGTGGACGGGACGTGGACATGGACGTGGACGTGGACGTGGACGTGGACGTGACGTGGACGTGGACGTGGACGTGACGTGGACGTGGACGTGGACATGTCGTGGACGTGGACGTGGACGTGGACGTGGACGTGGACGTGGACGTGGACGTGGACGTGGACGTGGACGTGGACGTGGACGTGGACGTGGACGTGGACGTGGAGTGGACGTGGACGTGGACGTGGACGTGGACGTGGACGTGGACGTGGACGTGGACGTGGGACGTGGACGTGGACGTGGACGTGGACGTGGACGTGGACGTGGAC